CAGAAGCCTTTCTACCATGTATACCCATACAGAGGGTGATGCTTACAGCTCTGACAAGGGCCCTCCAATAGAAAGTAGAGTCAAGAGAACGACTAGTTTCACTGATTCCAAACAGGCTCTTTTGGTTATTCATGCCCATGGAGCTATCTGGAAAGAGACATGATCCTCTGCATGATTCATTTAGTAGGATATATGGTTGGTTTGGCTCCCTATTACATGTATACCCATACAGAGGGTGATGCTTACAGCTCTGACAAGGGCCCTCCAATAGAAAGTAGAGTCAAGAGAACGACTAGTTTCACTGATTCCAAACAGGCTCTTTTGGTTATTCATGCCCATGGAGCTATCTGGAAAGAGACATGATCCTCTGCATGATTCATTTAGTAGGATATATGGTTGGTTTGGCTCCCTATTACATTCTGCCTTACAGTTGATACTGTTTGCCTTTTAAGCTTATGTATCTGGTACCAACGTCAGATAAAACTAGCTCTTCCCCTTCTCATGACCTACTTGTCCAACAAGAGGACTTTCTAATACTAGTTCATTACCTGGCCAGTAAAGGAGTATTTCTGTAATTCTATCCTCTAAGTCAGGTCCACATATCAGTTCAACAAGCAGCAGCAGCAGCCGGGTGAGTTATCACCCCACATCCCTCAAGGATGAGGGATATGAAGGACTGAAACAGAAAGGAAACTTAAACAAGTTCTTTAGCTTCACTTGCTTTTAGTTAGCTTTAAAAATCACTGATTTTGGAGGTCATTCAGCTAAGCTAAATATCATTCTCACTAGCTCGGTATAGGTAATACCTCTGAAATGTGGGTCATGGTTGTAAGAGTTGTCTTATTATTCTTCAGGGCTATGAAAGCCACTTTTGTTGAAATCAATTCTTAACTTGAGCCTGATCTACAGTTAGATGGGAGACCATCTGATATCACAGAGTCAAAAACACTACCACAGATCATGGTAACAGTATTATTTTCTGAATGCAGAGTCCATGAAGAGCTGTGAAAGCTGATTAGAAAAGGGAAGACCACTGGTTATTTCACCTCCAATCATCTTTTCCCACCTATTTCTTCACTCCCTATCGATCTATAAACCTTATCTTTGGGGAGGTAGAGCAGAGATCTAAGCTTCCCATCTCATCATATTGACCATCCTGTGAATAAACTCTTCTTTGACACAACTTACCTTTTAAGATATTGTCATACTGTGAGGAAAAACACAAGCCCAGTGTCCTATAATTACTAAGCAGCTACACTTTCCAGGTAACACAGAAGTTGTATGACAGAGGGCAAGGAGCTAAAGCCTGAGATGCTGTGAGTTTCATAACTTGGCCTTGTACAAATTGGTCTACTTTGGATGGGGGGAAACTCATCTGCAAAATGAAGGTTTCCACCTTCCCTAAAACCCTAGGACCTAAAGTATTCAAACACTAAAGTAAAATCTGGGCTTTCAAAAATTATCAGCCTTGGGCTTGGGAAATGGCTCAGTGAGTAAAGTCCTCGTTTTGCAAACATGAGGTCCTGAGTTTGGACCCCCAGCACCCAAGTAAAAGACCAGCATAGAGGCAGAAATCGGTAACTCCATAATTTGAGAGCGGATCCTGAGGGCTCATTGGCTAGCCAGCCTAGCCAAAAGTTCAAGCTCCTTGTTCAGGAAAAGATGTACCTTTTTAAAAAAGGTGGAGAGAGGAAGACACTTGATGTTGACTTCTGGCTTAGGCATGTGTTTACGTGGGTAAACACAATCTGCATACAGAAGCATGCATATACTACACATACACACCAAAAAGTATTTTTTAAATTAGCTTCAAACACAATGCTAAATTATACGTTAAAATGATTAGTTTCTTTACTATGCCATGTATTTATGAAATACAGCTTTTGTGTGAATTTGTTCCGTGAAAGTTGATGGTATTACAATTAACTCGAAAAGTATCAGGGTAAAGTCAGTAACTAGTACAAAGTCTGATATTAAACTGTCATCTCAAAATGAAAAATTTCAAACTACAATGCCTTAAAATTAAGACTAACAATAAGGCATCCGCTGTGGTTTACTGGTTTTAGCCCTTTTCTGAGAAGCAAACGAGACACTCACACCCATGTTGGTACCCAAACTAACATTTACCTGTATCCAGCTGTTCTGATGTATAGGTACTTGGTATAGGTTTTGGTTTGTCACATTTATACATACACACACAAACACGACTTACACACATTTTTTAAAAAATTTTTGTTTTTCTTCCAGTGGTGGGAATTAATGCCAGGGTCTACATGCTATAGAGCTGAACTGCATTCCTAGTCTTCTGCTCAATTCCCTAATACCAGAATGCTTCATTCAGCTCACTGTCCTGCTTTCTGTTCTGCTACGTTGTGTGCTTTCTTTCACTTCCATGTGTCTTCTGTTTCACACCCCTAGGTCTTCTCTTGCTGGCACCAAAACAGTACAGTATTTTCAATATTCTAAGCAGCCATGTTTTTAACACGGCATCTTGCCTTAAAGTTTCTTGTGCTGGAGAAAAAAATTAACAAAGTTCCCTGTGTTGATTTAACGCAGCTGATGAAGCGCTGCTATGGTTTATAAACGCCCAAGCCTCTCCACGCAGGTGCTGCATTCCCCGGGGCTAGCGCAGCGGGCAGACCGGGGTGGCAACGCACCCAGAAGGCCCTTCTCCCGGGCTACACAACCTTTTTTCCACCCAGAGCCCCAGAACATTGCCCCATTCCTGCGGCGTGCGGAGTACTGAAACCGTCACCGCAGCGCTTTCTAAGCGCTCCTCCTGGTTTTACTGCGCCCGGAACACAACTGAGGCTCTTTCTCCAGAAACCGCCTATACCTGCGGGACACCTCAGCCTGACAGTCCCCGGTCCTGGGTCGCGCCCGGGCAGGCTCGACCCCTCAGCTGAGCTGTCCCGGTCCGAAGCGCCCAGAAGCCAGCGCCGATGCCTCGGCCACTTCCGGACAGCCCTGGGAAGAGGCGGGAGAGCGGGGCCAGTCCGTGACCCAGGGCTTCGCGGGGTGGACGGCCGGGCTGCGGCCTGACGAGCGCAGCGCAGCCCCCGGCCCACTACGAGTACTCACCCGGCGTTTCACCCAAGGCGGCGCCCGAGCCGCGACCGCCTCTCGCCCTCCTGCCTCAGCCGCCGGGAACCGCCTCCTGGGCCACGGCTCCGGAAGACGTTTCTCAGACAGTGTCCTCACAGGCCGAAGCTCCACTGAGGTGAACCCAGTGAAAGCCGCTTCGGCAGAAACAAGCCTTCTGGGAAAGTTGGCGGGAGCTGCGCAGCTTCGCGCAGGACGTCGCCGAAGGGGCGGGGGAAGCGCTACTTCTGGAGCGTTAGGAAGGGCGGAAGCCGCTTCTCCGCGCGGCTCTGCGCACGCGCGGCCTGGGCCCTCAGCGTCCTGGCGGTTGTTAGGTGGAGCTGGTGCTGGGCAGCCCGAGCACTGTTTCTTGTACCTGCGCGTTAGAAAATACCCTCCTGAGGTCACTGTCCACCCTCGCGGTTTCCTTTGAAAAATATGTACAAGCAATTCAGAATGGATGTTCTGAAAATGTGCGGTGGTTTAACTGGTAGTGTGTTATTGGGAAGGTTGCGAAGTTAAAACTTGGTTTTCGCCAAACGCGAGAGAATGAATACTGTTGATAGGTAAAACGTAAGAGCGTGGGGTTGCCATTGGTGACGAACTTTGTTAGAATTTTTTTTTTTTTGAGACAAGGTGTCCCTGTAGCCCTAGCTGGCTGGAACTCACTATGTAGACCATGCTGGCCTTGAACTCACAGAGTTGCGCCTGCCTCTGCTTCCTGAGTGCTGGGAAGAAAGGTGTGTGCCACCATGCGCAGTTAGTGGTATTTTAAGGGGATGCAGCGGTCTTCCTTTTTCTAACCATAAAATAAAGTTTATTCACAACTTTGGTTTAGTAAAGTTTTGTGTTATCTCCTGGTGAGTTAATGCACAGCCTTTAATACCAACAATCAGAAGGCAGAGGCAGGCAATCTTTGTGAGACTGTAAAGCCAAATTCTCTTCTGGGAGTCCTGCGCTATGTGCACTCTAGGCTTCCAGGCCCTCTGTGAGGCAAGCAGCTCTAGAAAAGGGCCCAAAGACGCCTTAACTCGGGTTTCACAGCCCCATGTGCCTTCTTTATTTCCAGCAATATAAAATCCACCACCACCCCTTCTGCCTTCCCACAGCTTACTATCCCAAGGAGAAGCTGTTGCCACTTTGCTGAATGAACACTGTTCAGTCTGCTGAAAGATCTGGCTCTGGTCTTTAAACTTTATTCTTTCTCTGACCTTCTAAATCTAACAATGTGTGATCTCCACTAACTTCTCTGTGGATAATCAGATAATTGGGTTTCAATATTTTGTTTTTAAGTGTGTCTGTGTACATGGATGTGAGTGTTGGTACCTGCAGAGGTCAGAAGGCATCAGATCCTTAGCTTGAGTTACAGGAAGTCTTGAGCCTCCTGGGTGCTAAGACTTGAACTTGGGTCTGCTGGAAGACCAGCAAGTGTTCTTAACTGCTGAGCTGTCTCTCCAGCCCCTCAATTACTTTTCGTTTCAACAAAATACCCAACAGAAATAAAGAGGATTTATTTTGGCTCATGGTTTGGGGAATTCAGTCCCTTGTTTGGGAGGGAAGCATCTCAGAGAGGCTCCCTTTGTGCTGGGAATTTGTGGTGGAGCTCCTTAGGTCATGGCTGAACCAAAAAGTGGATTAAGCCTGGAACAGGGCTGTGCCATAACCTACAAGGGCGTGCCCCAGTGCTATACTCCTAGCCAAGCATGCCCCCACCATCGCCAGGGGGCTGGAGAGATGGCTCAGTGGTTAAGAGCCCTGGCTGCTCTTGCAGAAGACCCTAGGGGTCAAATCCCAGCACCCACTGAAGGATAAATGCCTGGACTTAAAAGGGCCCAGGTGTAACTTTCAAAGGACTTTATACATGTTAAGTAACCTTCAGATAAACCTCAGATCCAAGCTAATATCCAACCCAGGAATTTTGTAAAACCCCCAACTTAAGACTGATATCTGGGAAAACTATTATCAGCCTCTATTGTCTCAAAATCTCCAAACAGTGTCACGAAGAACTACCAAAATAGCCCTACCCCCTCTACCCCCAACCCTTCTGAGCTGCCCACCAACTGTGCCTGAGGGTGCAGTTTCAAATCCCGAGGAGAAACTGTGGCCACCTTCATTGCTCTTAATAAGAACAATCTGCTCCTAAGGTCCTCTCATCTTTCTCATCTTTCATTTTCACATTGCCCTGGTCAATCACAATCTAACATTTCCTAACACCCATGTGGCAGATAAGAATCACCCATAACTCCAGTTCCAGGGGGTTCTGATGCCCTCTTCTGACCTCCATGGGCATTGCATAACACAGGTGCACTTGAATGCAGGCATAACACTCAAACACATAAAAATATTAACAAAATAAATTAAAAATTGGAAGATTTTTACAGCCAAGCCAAGCAACCACCTGAGGACCGGGAGTAAAACACACGTCTCTTGGAAAAATTTTGGATTCAAACATTAATAGCTTTCTAGTAGGGAAATGGCTGAGAAAGGTATTGTCTATAATATTATTTATTTATATATAGATGTACTCTGTAGCCATTAGCCAAACCTGGATTTTGTGGCAAATTCATCATATAATACAAAGTAAAAAGACAATACAAAACATAGTTTGAAGTATATATGTAAAGACTTTGTGAAAGAAAAGCTCCTAAAAAGAACTCCTGGACTGAACTTCCTGCAAGGCTTAAGTACTAATTAGCACTCTGGAGATTGTGGAGAGTTTGGAATGTTGTAGGTCCAGAGTCTGATTACCATTTATCTTAGGCCATCTTTAGCCCCCTAAACAGCCACTTCAGTGAGAGCCTGTCAGTCTGCAAGTAGAGCTGCCTTGCTCTGCTCAGGTGGGGACTGGCCCACAGACAAAGCCATTCTGTCTGAGGGTCCCCAAGTGGAAGAGACCCAATCCCCTTAGGCTGCCGGGTTGGTTGGGGAGGGGAGGGCTTCCTCTGGCTGGGCCACAGAGTGGGTATAAAAGATCCCCTCGGCAGGGGGTAGGGCCATAGCCCTTGGCTCTGCTCCTGTCTCCCCACCTGGAGGGCTGCAGGCCCTACTGCAGAGGCTTAGCACCCAGGGGGCACTTTCTCTGCGGCTCCCTGCCCTGCCATACAAAAAGAAAGACTAACTCCTGCATGGCTGCTCCTCCCCTGGACTCCAGGCCTGCAGAGAAGCAGTGTGGGTGGCCCTTCTCAGCCACCACCACTCGGGTTTTCAGGGTGCTCTGGGTGCCAAGCATGGACCTGAGCACTGGGCCCTGCTGGCGGCACCCATGCACTCTGCCATTGGTGCCCTGCAACTCACTGCACAAAGCCAGGTCCCGTGTCAGACCTCTGCCAGAGGAGGAAATAGAGGAGCAGTGCCTTTTTTTTTTTTCCTGTGTGGTGCCCAACTGCTGGCCTGCTGCAACCCAGAGGTGGATGGATCAAAACCATCTCTAACATACTTAAAGCATAAATTTCAGAGGAGTCAACTGCTCCCCCCGTAGATGACAGATTGACAGAAATAGGCAACAAAGGAGACCAGCACAGACAACAACAAAGCACTCACATGACGGCCATCACACAAAACACTCATTCAGGTTAGTTACAGAGGGCAGTCAGCAAAGTCTTGCTGACTCCCTGGACACTCGGTCAGCAGCTGCCTCAAGCTTCCCCTCCAAGTGTCCTTGTGAAGGCACCCCAGACTCTAACTCAGAGCCTTCCAGAAACAAGTGACTTTCTTCAAAAATCTTTTGGGACTGGGATATCAAAACCACCAGAACAGTGGGCAGCAGCAGTAGCAGCAGAGGCCAGAAATCCTGGGGCCTTGGAAAGTCTCAAGGGATATCCCCTCCTGCCCCAGGAATCTGCCCAGGACCACACTACTTCCCTGTTCAGGTTCTCCAGAGTCTGAGGTCTAATTTTCTGGGATGTCGGTGGAACCTCCAAAATGTTGCAAGGTGCTTCACCAGAAAAAGACCACTCAGACAGTTTTGTTGAATGAAAGTCTTGCTGGCCAGGGCTACACATGGGTGTCAGAATCCCAGCGTGTACCCTGAGCCATCTCTAGGGTAAGCTTTTATACAGAGAAACCATAACCAGGGATGAAAAGTTTAAGTTCTCAAGCTTACAGGTGGAGAGCCCCTTAACAATTTCTATTCTGTTAAGCAACAGTTACTATTCTGCAGAAGCAAGGCAAACATAACCTACAGAAGCCATAAATCTGAAGTTAGCAGGTGCACTCTGGGACACACTGACCTGTTCCCAAGACAACTTGGGTCCTGCTGACCTGTGTTCCCATATCCTAGGCCAACTGCCTGATAATTTCAGCCACTAGAGTCAGCCTGAACTTTAACATGGCATAGCAATGGTCAAGAAGATGCCCTATGACACTTAGAAGGATTTATAATGTCAACAAAACAGCTGCAATTTTTTTCTTTTTGCAATTAGAGTGGTATCCATTTAACAGAACAATTACTTTCATACAAGCTGCATCAGAGACAAAAACTACTGTCCCCACATATAACTAACTTGTGCCGTGTACCAACAAGAACCTGCTTTAAATTTCCATGCCAATTTCCAACCCCTATACTGTGCCAGGCGAGATTAGTGGCTATTGAAAATACCACCATGACAGGGCTATCTAAAGACATATTCGGTAGTGTGTTAATTCTACAATAAAAGACACTGTACAGTTCAAAAACAAATCTAACACAGCCTTATATTTTGATTATTTTTTTCTGTAAAAGGAGTGAGTTGTGTACAGGGGGGTTAAATGCTTACAGACAAGAAAAATAAACTGCGCTAGAACAAACTCATCATCATCTTCACCTGCGTCTTCATCTTCCTCCTCTTCCTCGTCCTCTTCATCGTCTTCATTTTCCTCTTCTTTTTCTTGCTCTTTTCAGCCCTGACACCCCCTTTTTTTCAGTGTCCGGTTTTCCTTTAGCTCTGTAGGCAGCAGTATCCTTTTCCTATTTCTCCTGCAGCTTGTGGCCTTCTCATAAGGCTGCTTGTCATCTGCAGCAGTGCTGTTCCACATCTCTCCCAGTCACTTTGCAACATCACCAATAGATAAGCCTGGGTTCTCTTCTTTGATTTTGGGGTGACAACAGAACAAGAAGAAAGCCGAAGGAGGCCTCTTGGGTGCGTTGGGATCTTTGAACTTTTTTGGTTCCCTTTTGGGAGGGATATGGCATTTTCATTTCTCATCAGGAGCCTTAGCCTCTGCCATGTCTTCAAACT